TTCTGATGTGCAATAAATGATTAGAAGATGGAAAAAGTCTAAAACAATACATAGAAGCGTGCAACGTGACCAAACATGGAGATATATTGAATTATTTATTGAAACTATTGATCTGCGTTATGCAATAACCCTTGAAGAACTTCAAAAAGATATTAGAGACAGTAGTTACATTGACAACGAAGGAAGAGAAAGATCTACCAGATTAGAAATATTATAAATTAATTTCAATATAACTCTTTTAATTCATTTTCATTTAAGTCATTTCAATTTCTATGTATGTCTTTTATAATTAATCATTTTTCAATTACAAGGTATGTTTTATAATTTATTTCTATTTTAATAAGTTTATTTTTCTTTAATATCATGTTCTATAATTTTTATTTTGCTACTAATAACTTATTTTTAATTTTACTTTTAATATTTTATATATTAAATTTATCAATTTTTTTCTAAAACTATAGCTTAAATAATTCATATAATTAAAAAAATATATACATTTTAAATTTTCTATTAAAAAAATAAATAAATATAAATATAATAAAAAATTATTATTTAATATTTTTAATAATTATTTAAATATATTTAGATAATTTAATATATATTTAAATAATATATTATTTTTATTATTTTATATATAAATATTATTTAAATTTTAAAATTAAAATGTTATTTTAATATTAATTTTATTATTTTTATATAATTTTTTATTTTTAATTATATATTTTATTTAATTTTTTATTTAAAAAAAGTTGTAAGTTTAAAGTTGGAATTCAGTTTACGGAAACCGAATTCCAAGTATAACAGGAAAAGAGGGACTTTTTTACTAAAATAATATTATTATATTATATATATACGTAAGAGAACTTATGATGAAATTATTTACTTAACTGAACCTCTCATAAAGTTATTTACTTAACTGAACCTCTTTCGTTGTTGTACTTGGGATTAGGTTTCCCGTAAACCGAATTCCAACTTTAAACTTACCACTTTTTTTAAATAAAAAAATTAAATAAAATATATAATTAAAAATAATAAAATTAATATTAAAAATAAAATTTTAATTTTAAAATTTAAATAATATTTATATAAAAAATAATAAAAATAATATATTATTTAAATATATATTAAATTATTTAAATATATTTAAATAATAATTTTTATTATATTTTTTTATATATATTTTTTTTAAATAGGAAATTTAAAATTTATATATTTTTTTATTATATGAATTATTTAAGTTATAATTTTAGAAAAAATATAATAAATAAAAATTTAATTTAGGTAATATATTAAAAAATTAAATATTATATTATAAAAATTTATGTAATAGTTTTTATTTGATAAATTATAAATATTATATTAAAAAATTCATGCTAATTTTTTTTTAAATAATAAAGTAAAAATATTATTTAATTAGTTAAAAATTATTATTATTAATATAAAATAAACTTAAAAATAAAAAATAATAAAAATTGACAGAATTTAATGTATAATATTAAAAATAACATCATCATTGGTAATAAAAATTGAAAAATAAAATTATTGACAATAATGGTAAGAAAATTTTAATCTCAAAAGTGGTGTCCAGTTCCATAACAAGAATGACGTCCGTTACGTTTTGGATTTTGTCGGTGTGGTTGTTCTTGAATTTCGGGAAAAATTTGTGTAGGGTTTTCTTCGTCATAAACCTCTATTATTTTCACTCTATAAAAATCTTTCTACCTTTATTATTTTTCTTTAATATCATGTTCTATAATTTTTATTTTGCTACTAATAACTTATTTTTAATTTTACTTTTAATATTTTATATATTAAATTTATCAATTTTTTTCTAAAATTATAACTTAAATAATTCATATAATAAAAAAATATATAAATTTTAAATTTCCTATTCAAAAATAAAAAATATATATAAAAAATATAATAAAAGAGTATTATCGTAAACCAAATCTAAACGGTGAGAATTTACTAACATATGATATCATTCCTATATTAACTGATGTTCATGTAGCGCAGATGCTTGCTTGTAAGTCTCAATTTTCTATAGATACAGTAATTGAACTTAATGTCATATTGGTCAGAACAAATTATCATGCTTCTAAACCCACCTCCCACAACCTCTTCATCTAACAATCAACTCATTACTTCTACAAAAGCTAAACTTTATTTCTGCGGACCTCTCCAATGTGCTACCATCAAGGAATTTCCATACGGTTTTAGACTTATTTACACAAGCTTTTATCCAAGGACAATGGTAGTTGAAGGTCTTTCAACCAATTTTTTCAAAGAATTAGTGAAATACTGGATTATGGAGACCGTAAACAAATAACAAAGATTAACTATCGACGTCTAATCCAAGTTGTCAATGATAAACTATTTCACGACTCCATATAAATCAAAACTGATTCTGATGTGCAATAAATGATTAGAAGATGGAAAAAGTCTAAAACAATACATAGAAGCGTGCAACGTGACCAAACATGGAGATATATTGAATTATTTATTGAAACTATTGATCTGCGCTATGCAATAACCCTTGAAGAACTTCAAAAAGATATTAGAGACAAGTAGTTACATTGACAACGAAGGAAGAGAAAGATCTACCAGATTAGAAATATTATAAATTAATTTTAATATAACTCTTTTAATTCATTTTCATTTAAGTCATTTCAATTTCTATGTATGTCTTTTATAATTAATCATTTTTCAATTACAAGGTATGTTTTATAATTTATTTCTATTTCAATAAGTTTTTTTTCTTTAATATCATGTTCTATAATTTTTATTTTGCTACTAATAACTTATTTTTAATTTTACTTTTAATATTTTATATATTAAATTTATCAATTTTTCTAAAACTATAGCTTAAATAATTCATATAATTAAAAAATATATACATTTTAAATTTTCTATTAAAAAATAAATAAATATATATAAATATAATAAAAAATATTATTTAATATTTGTAATAATTATTTAAATATATTTAGATAATTTAATATATATTTAAATAATATATTATTTTTATTATTTTATATATAAATATTATTTAAATTTTAAAATTAAAATTTTATTATTTTTATATAATTTTTTATATTTAATTATATATTTTATTTAATTTTTTATTTAAAAAAAGTTGTAAGTTTAAAGTTGGAATTCGGTTCACAGGAAACCGAATTCCAAGTATAACGAGGAAAAGAGGGACTTTTTTACTAAAATAATATTATTATATTATATATACGTAAGAGAACTTATGATGAAATTATTTACTTAATCTGAACTTCTCATAAAGTTATTTACTTAATTGAACCTCTTTCATTGTTGTACTTGGGATTAGGTTTCCGTAAACCGAATTCCAACTTTAAACTTATCACTTTTTTTAAATAAAAAAATTAAATAAAATATATAATTAAAAATAATAAAATTAATATTAAAAATAAAATTTTAATTTTAAAATTTAAATTATATTTATATAAAAAATAATAAAAATAATATATTATTTAAATATATATTAAATTATTTAAATATATTTAAATATTTATTAAAAATATTAAATAATAATTTTTATTATATTTTTTTATATATTTTTTTTAAATAGGAAATTTAAAATTTATATATTTTTTTATTATATGAATTATTTAAGTTATAATTTTAGAAAAAATATAATAAATAAAAATTTAATTTAGGTAATATATTAAAAAATTAAATATTATATTATAAAAATTTATGTAATAGTTTTTATTTGATAAATTATAAATATTATATTAAAAAATTCATGCTAAATTTTTTTTTAAAATAATAAAGTAAAAATATTATTTAATTAGTTAAAAATTATTATTATTAATATAAAATAAACTTAAAAATAAAAAATAATAAAAATTGACAGAATTTAATGTATAATATTAAAAATAACATCATCATTGGTAATAAAAATTGAAAAATAAAATTATTGACAATAATGGTAAGAAAATTTTAATCTCAAAAGTGGTGTCCGAGTTCCACAACGAGGACGACGTCACGTTACGTTTTAGATTTTGTCGGTGTGGTTGTTCTTGAATTTCGGGAAAAATTTGTGCGGGGTTTTCTTCGTCATAAATCTCTATTATTTTCACTTTATAAAAATCTTTCGACCTTTATTATTTTTCTTTAATATCATGTTCTATAATTTTTATTTTGCTACTAATAACTTATTTTTAATTTTACTTTTAATATTTTATATATTAAATTTATCAATTTTTTTCTAAAATTATAACTTAAATAATTCATATAATAAAAAAATATATAAATTTTAAATTTCCTATTCAAAATTAAAAAAAATATATATAAAAAATATAATAAAAGAGTATTATTTAATATTTTTAATAATTATTTAAATATATTTTAAAAATTTAATATATATTTAAATAATATATTGTTTTTATTATTTTTTATATAAATGTTATTTAATTTTAAAATTAAAATTTTATTTTTAATATTAATTTGTATTATTTTTAATTATATATTTTATTTAATTTTTTATTTAAAAAAAGTTATAAATTTAAAATAGGAATTCGATTTATGAAAAACTAAATTTCAAATACAATAAAAAAGGTACAAAGATTCAATTAAGTTAATAATTTTATAAAATATTCAGTTAAATAAATAAATAAATAATTTGATCAGAAATTTTTTTTATATATATATATATATAATAGAATAATATTATTTTAGTAAAAGAGTGATACTCCCCGCAGCTTTTAATCATCCCTTTACAAATCGAGTCGAGAATTGGATGTGTTGGAAACCGAATTTGGGGAGAAAAAGACAGGTTGTGTTGGGTAAACATTCCTGAAAGGTTTGAAATTAATTTTTTTTTAAAAAGGTTTTTTGGGGGAAACGTTTTGGATAGGTATGGTAGCTGGAGCAGAGAAGAAAGAGAGGATAATGAGAAGGGGATAGTAGGGTTGGGGTTGGGCAGAAAGATAAAAGATTGGGAGGTGCAGACAAAGAGGGGTTACGTTTTAGGATGAGGACAAGTAAGGGAGGCGATTGTGTGAGGATTGTACCGCAGCATACCTGGCATCAATCAGCGCCAGCAGGTGTGACAGAACTGAAGAGGCAGCCAAGCCAAGCCAAGCCACCATCTCCTCTGAACCACCTGACCCTCTGTCTCAGTACACAGCAACATTTCAGCACTTTCTTTTCCCACTCACCCCTATCCTCATTGTGTTTAACAGTATCAACATTTTAATTTATTACAAATTCAAAATGATAAAGAAAATATATTTTCTTTTTCTTTACTTTTTAAATTAATATTTTCAACTTTCAAATAAATATTTTTTTTACTTTCTGCTTTAATAAAATATTCTTTTAGTCCCTAATGATATCAATTTAAAGCATTTTTAAATAATAATTCTATTCAAATATTCTCACTTTAAAATATAATACTTTTGCTGTAAATAGAACCATTAATTCAAGACAAATATATATCTTAAATGAAAATAATTGAATTAATTTTATTTGACGCTAATATATTTTAACTCTTATATATTTCAATCTGTCATTTTTAAATCTTTAGTTTTAATTTGAATTAGAAATTTTGTAAATATTACCTGTTATTAAAATTGTTTTATTCTACAATAAACTGTTTTTCATAAATATCAAATATAATTTATATGCTCCTAATATTTTAAAATAAATTTTAATTTTAATATAATTTTATATTTAACTATTATTTATTAAAAATTTGAATTATATTTAATAAATATTAATTCTAAAATAATCGTATATTAATATATTTCTTTTCGTGGGAGAAGATAATAAACAATAATGAGAAATAAAGTAAGTTAGAACTATAATTTTTTTTAATTAAGTTTTACTTTTATTTTTAAAAATAATTTCGGAGACTTATTAAAAAAAACTATTTGAAAATAAGTTGAATAAAATAATTATTTGATAATTTTTTTTCAAAAAATTATTTTTCAATTATTATAAAATAAAATAATATAGGTAATCATAAAAAATCAAGATAAAAAATTTATTTGATATAATTATTAATCAAAACATTAATTTCTATTGAAAAACTAAAAACTAAGATATAAAATATTATTTATTAATTTTAATTTTAAGGACATGGGGTCAGCCTGCACGGGGCATAAGTGGGCTGAACATTTTTAGCTTTGAGTTCACTTATGCCGCCCATCATAGCCAGCAAGCAGGTCATGCGAGCTAAGATGCACCTAATTTTTTTTAAACATATAAATAAATAAATTATTTTTAAATTTTTATATTATCTAATTTAATTTACTTTTTATTCTTTATTTTTTATCATTTTTAGTGTTAGTCATTTGTTGTTATTTATTAATTTTAGATTATTATTATTAATATAAGATTTTGATTTAATTATTTTTTAATTAAATAAATTATTAAAAACAAATGTTAAAAGACGAATAGAAAATTTATGAATTTGAGGAATAAATTCAATAAATTAAGAAAAAAATGAGATATCTAATTAAAATTTATAATAATTATATTTTTTTTAAGAAATTATGATTTATTTTATTTTTATAAATTGAAATTCTAGAAAGATAATATGATAAATAATATGTTCATTATATAATATGCTTTTTTTTTTAATTATTGCGTGAATTAACTTGTATAACCCAAGTTATGTGAAGTGGGTGAAGATTTTTAACGTGCAAATCTTATGTGAGTGAATTATGTCTCATCTTTTTTTTTTTCTTTTTTCTTTTCTTTTAGGAGTTAATCATTTCACGATTTCATTCCTATTTTTTAAAATAAAAATAACTTCTAAAAATTATTATAAAAAAATATTTATTAAATAAATTTTTATTTTTTAAAAAATTAAAATTTAAAAAACAATAAACAAATAAATTTTAATAATCTAGAAATTTGTGCTCTCGGATATGTGTTGTGTATTTTAATTGAGTTTATTAATAAATGTATTTATGAGGACCAATATTTATTGACTTAATATTTTTAACTTTATGATGTTAATTTAATATTTAATTTTATCATATAATAATGCATAATCTTATAAAATGATATTGTAAAATTTTAACTTAAATTACATCTTTTAATTAAATTAACAAAAATCATTTATGAACATTTTAACCTTTTGTATGGATAGTTATGGTCAAATATGATTTATTTTACGGAGGTGACAGGGTAAAAAAATTGTAGATAAGTATTTATATATTATCTGTATTTTTTATATTTTCAAAGTAATTAATTTAACCTTTTCATTTTTAAAATATATTATTTTAATTATTTTTATATCTAAATTTAATATTTAATAATATTAAAAAAAATTTAAAGGGATTAAATTAATATAAATATAATTCTAAGTTTTATAGATATGAATTTAATAATTGATATTTTTTTACTATATAAAACTGATGAACGAATTAAATTTATATTTATTAAAATTTAAAAATATCAAAATCATATAAAAAAACTATAAAATAAAAACATATTTAATTATAAAATTTATTGTTTTTAATAAATCTTTCTTGCTTTTGTGACTTTATTATTGCATATAAATCGTATTATTATAATATTTTATATTGAAAATAAATTTGACTTAATTATATATAAATAATGCAATATTACTGTAAATAGTCTCAATACAATTAAATTATAAAATATTAAAAAATAAGTATAAAAATTTCTTTAAATTATATTTTAAATAATTGACAACATTTTATCTTTATAATATTATTTATTCTTAAACACGATAATAATATATAATGATAATATATAAGTTAAACAAAAAACATTCAAAGAATAATTACTTAATAATTTAAAACTTCACACATTCACCAAAATCATATTTTCATAAATATTACTTTTATTATATTTTAATTAATATGATTAGATATTTTTTCAAAGAAATTATATTTTAGGATAAGTCATCAATCTATTAGCTCTTTGTCACTCAATATTTTAATTTATATAAATGAGATTATCTCTCATTAAATTTACACAAATATAATGATCATAGCGATACACATCAATACCTCTTTAATACATACTATATTTTCTAGATCACATATCTTAGGTTCACATATCTTAAATAAACATGTACATCTAAATGATTATAGGTAATATTTTCTTAGTTGATTTAGTTTTATACTAATCCATTTTAATTGGTTATATATAATAATCTCTAATTCGACTTATCCTCACAACTTACCACTATTTAGATATCATACATTTTAGTTAACATAAAAATATTTTGATAAATAATCATTTGCTACTTCAACGAAATACTGTCAAGATTTTATTCAAATTATTTATACCTATTTTTCGTTTGATTAACCTTATGTTATTTGAGCAAAATGATCAGTTCACTTTTGTGTCAATATTTTTGCTTGCCCAAAAAGTGCCTCTAGAATAAGTTTTTCATTTTATTTATTATTCTCTTCAACAACAACCCTATTTTTTTGTTTTTTACTTCGCTTGAGCTACTCCTTATTACTTAACCAAAATATAATTTAAAGCAATTTACTCTCTTTTGTAACATTTTTGCTTAAATACATAAGTTTTACTTAAACAAATAGTCACTATATAACTTTTGGCTTAATTATCGCTTACATAAATTGATATCATTTAATCCATTTTTTCCATTTTTTGACATCTTGCTTGAGTGACCAAATAATATCATACATTAAAAACACAATACAACAAGTAGCCTAAACATGCATTTTTATTGTATTCAATATTCCAAATGCATATATTTCCAATTCTGATATGATATTACTTGAATAATTAATTTTCCTTACTTAGATATTTTTAAAATCTAACTCCTCTTAGTATTTTTGTAATCCAAAACTAATATTTTCACTCTAATAACTAGATAAATCCCCACACAACCAAAATAATAGTGATTACTAACTTATTTCTCCCTTTCCTTAACTTAGAAATAACCTAGAAAAAACTTAAGTGAAAAAAAATCACTTATTCAAATACGATCGTGTAACTTTACTCCGTACTACTTAAGCTCCCTTTTATAACTCACCACTTGTTTTCCAACAAAACTTCATACTCAATTTTAGAAAATTTTCAAATAAGCTAAACATATCTAATTTTTAAATATTCAAACCATTGCATATAACATCTCACGGGTAGTTATATTACTTAAAATATAGGGATTTTGCTTCAGGGCCACAATTCTAGTGAATAAATCACTCTAACATATTTAGATCCTCTAAACTCAGAGTGTTAAGAATTCTATTACTATCTTCCCTTATCTAAAATTAAGTGTCTTCAAGTAGGAATTTTTTAAAACTCCAAAATCTTACCGGATCTTCAAACTTCATAGAAAATTTTGATAGGATAAAAATGTTTCCTCAATACCATGAGTACTAAAGTACTCTTAAATTTAGTAAAAGATCAGTGTTAAGTAAAAGTTCTTAAAAAATGTCAAAAGATTCTAATTATATAGAGAAATAATTATTTTATAAAAATAAAATTTGAATAATTAATTTATTTATTTATAATATTTTTAATAAGGATAATTATTCAAACATCACTTAGATTAATTACTTTCACTTGTAAATTACCAAAATCTTGTTCCTAGATTTAACCTTATGCTTAAACTTTATTTAATATATACTCATTTATCCTTTTAAAAAAAATATAAAAAATATAAAAAAAGAGTTTTAAGGATAAATATAAAAATATCATATAATAAAAAGTAATAAATTAATATTAAAAAGTGTTAAAAATGATATCATTTATGTAAAATTAATTTAAATATGGTTTTGTCTCATAAAATAAATTTAAATTATTTATATCATATAGTTTAATAAATTTTACTTTATAGCATCTATACATAAATTTATTTGCTTGTAACTTTTATACATATTATTGTTATTATGGTTTAACTTTATATATATATATATATATATATATATATATATATATATATATATATATATATATTAATAGTCCCAAAATATATATCGTAAATATTTATATAAATATTTTTTTTAAATAGATTTTCTCTTGATAAAAAATTTACATATATAGATTTAAAACATAAAAAATAAATTAATAAAAATATTTAAAATTTTATCAATTTTAGGTCTCTTTGAATTCAAACATATGTATTATCTACTTACTGTAATTACATGATTATCACCATTTAAAATAACACAAAGTACCATAGGGTAACATAATGATTCAAAATAAATATATTTCAAATTTTAATTTATTATAAAATAACATATACATATATTTTCAAATGTATTAATACTATACAAAATCATTCAAGAGTTAACATCATCTCACACCATACAAGTCAATTATAATGTCACACATATATAAATACATTACATCATATTTATATAGGACTACTGGCGCATCACATAGATTCTAGATTACTTTCAAAAGACTAAATGATATCATAGGTATATTAGGAAATACAAGTGTGAGCTTAAGTTTCATATTATATAAGAATAAGAAAGTTGATCAACAGTTTAAGAGTGAATCTTGTATCGAAAGTCTTTTTAATAGTGAGTCAGGTAAGTGTGTTCCATTATGATGAACGATGATACTTGAAAGAGTCACTAGTGAGCTGAAGGGAGATGTACCAATGTAAATGGACTCACACTTAAGGGGGAGATTATTGGGTAATCCAAGTTTGAGTTAAGTCTCACATTGAGTAAGAATGAGAAAGTTGAGTATCATATAAAGAAGTATGACCCATAACCTAATGCCTTAAGGTTTTGGTTTGAGAATGATGTCAATCCTTATGTAGACTGGACTCTTGTTTCATTTGTGTTGTTCTCCCTAGTGAATCCCCTCAAAAACCTAACAAGTGGTATCAAAGTCAAAGGTTGATCGGCAATTTAAGAGTGATTTTTGTATTGAAAGTCTTCTTAACAGTGAGTCAGGTAAGTGTATCCCATTAAAGTGAAATCCAAGTGTGAGTTAAGTCCCACATTGAGTAAGAATGAGAAAGTTGAACAATATATAAGGAAGAAAAACTCATAACCTAATGCCTTAAGGATTTGGGTTGAGAGTGATATCAATTTGTTATATGAGTTGAACTCATGTCTCATTAGTGTTGTTTCTCCCCTGTGAACCCTCCTCGAAAGACCTAACAAGTGTGAATCTCCCTCGAAAGAGTAGTGGGAGAGAGTGGTCTTTGTATTGAAAGTCTTCCTGACAGAATGGGTCAGATAAGCATGTCCCATT